ATGGGGATCCAAACCCTCAGCCTTGATGTTATCAGCACCACACTCTCCCAAGTGAGCTAACTGGCCATCCCTATATGGGGATCCAAACCCTCAGCCTTGATGTTATCAGCACCACACTCTCCCAAGTGAGCCATGGGCCGGCCCTCCATCCTTTTATTTTTAATTTCTTTCTTAGACCAGTGCTGTTTCTAGTGTATCATCTAAAGGGATGTTGTCATATATATGTAATGATGAGGATATTTATATGCATTCATGAATACATAAAAGAAATCATTTTTTATAGTTATATAACACCTAGTAGGTTTGAAAACTAAGAAATCAATGCCTTAGAGAAAACATTTTCTTACAACTTGATTTGACCTTTTGAGTAATGATTTCTTACCTAATTTTCTTCTGTAGGGAATATTTTAACTGAGCCAATAGGCTACTTGGAATCCTGTTTCTCGGCCAAGAATGGTACTCCAAGGCAGCCATCTGTTTGTAGCTATTCGCGGGCCTGTTTGAGGATTAGAAAGAACATCTTTAATAATCCTGAGCATTCCTTGATGGGCCTAGAGCAGTTCTCTCATGTTTGGTAAGTTGTTTTATAGTTAGAGGTGGAACTTTGGGCCAGAACTTGCCAGTGAGTAAAAGTTCTGCAGTTGAAGGCAACTTTGAAGTCTGCCATCCAGACCATGCTTATCTATTTCATGGAATTCCTGTACTGTATTTGTGCGTGTGATTATATGCATAATTTGGACATCCTCAGTGAAGCTTGAGATCCACTGAGTGGGCATGTTCCATTTGCAGTTGGTTCTAATTATACTAAAAAAAATTTTTTTTGGCATACAAAAAGTTAACACTGTATTGCAAATTTTATACCATAAGTCAGGAAGGAGAACATTTAAGATTCTCAAGGCATGTGAACGTTCATTTTTCTGCCCTGCATTTTTTTTTTTTTTGAGAAATGAGTTTTGAACTTGATTTCAGTTTCCCATAACAAAATCTGTCAAAGAAAATAGATAACAGTTACATATTTAACAAGTTACACAATATATGTTAAGATTATTGTGCCCTAAAAGAATTATGTGAAGTTAGTGTTTGATTAGACTATTTGTATCAATGGTGCTTTGCAGACTGCTTAGTAATCTTTTTTTTTTTTTTTTGATTCTTTAAAAAGGTCAAAATTTGCAAGCCTTTTTCTAGACTGACCAAGACAAAAGAGAGAAGACAGAAATTACTAAAATCAGAAATAAAGCAGAGGTGTGATAGAGCAGTTGCTTCTTCTTTTACTCTGGAGTAGGCTTTGAGGAGAGAGATGTCCTCCTCTTTTTCCAGGATTCTGCTTGTGACTCTCATTGTATCATTGCAGTTGGGTGTCTCTGGTGGGCTGCCTGCATGGTAGCTGTGGCTACTGCTATAGTGTTGAGTCACTTTTGTGGCAGCCGTGGCTATGGCTGTGGTGGCGGCTGTTGTGAGCCACATGCGAGAAAGTGGTATTCTTGGCAGTTGGGTGTCTCTGGTGGGCTGCCTGCATGGTAGCTGTGGCTACTGCTATAGTGTTGAGTCGCTTTTGTGGCAGCCGTGGCTATGGCTGTGGTGGCGGCTGTTGTGAGCCACATGCGAGAAAGTGGTATTCTTGGTATGCTCTTTGCCTGTTTCCTGGCGGAGGATGCTGCCCTCAGCTCCTGCCTTAGGACCCTGGGTGTGCTGTGTTTCTTGCCTGCATCCAGGTGGAAAGGGCTGTCCCTTGGCCCAGTTGGTTCTAATTGTGATGAGTGCTTTGTGTTGAGCTGAAACTATAGACCTCCTTTATTCTACCCATGGGTTATTATGCTGTCTTCTAAGATGTCAGCAAACTATGGCCCATAAACCAAATATGGCCCACTATCTGTTTTTGTAAATTAGTTTTATGGGAACACAGCCATGCCCATTTGTTTATATATTGTCTGTGGCTGCTTTTATGCTACACAATACTGCACAGTGATTGGTTGGCCTGCAAATCCTAAAATATTTACTCTGACTCTTTACAGAAAAAGTTAGCAGACCCTGCTCAAGACCCATGAAGAACTGAGTCTGTTCTTTCTAAAAGATAGCAGACAGTAGAAATCTGGATACTTTAAATAAAGTTTTACCTGTATTAGGGTCTGTGTTATACTAGTGTTACTTGCTGTCATTTGGAATTCTGTCTCTGTCCATTCTTCCTTGCCCCAACATCAGCAGTCTGATTTTAGTGCTGGATACCTAAAATTAACTGTTTATTCTGAAATAGTATATTTTTTCATGTTAATTTGGAGACATGGGTATATTAGAAAAACATGGGTGTTTTGACCAAGTTTGTATAATTTCAGTTGAGTTATTTAAGTTAAAAACATTGTTGACATAAACAGAGAGTTCAGAAGTATATAAAGAGATTTTTCCTTACACCTCCTATTTTTCTCCTCTCTCGCCCCCATCCCCCAACATTCTTTGGAGATTATCACTTTTTTTGTTTTGGCAGCTGGCTGGTATAGGTATCTGAATGCTTGACCTTGGTGTTATAAGGCTGTGTTTTAACCAGCTGAACTAACAAGCTAGTCCATGGAGATTATCACTTTAACAGCTTGGTGTAGCTTGGTGTAGATTCTGCTAGATCTTTTCTTTTTTTCCTTTTATTTTTTAATATACATGGAAGCATAAATATACACATATGGAGTGGAGATTTATTTTTAAAAATGAAATGTTTTCTTCACTTAACAGTATATATCATGGAAAGCCTGCAAGGCAGTACATATAGATTTACCTTTTTTATTTTAGTAGCTGTCTATTATTGCAAAATATAGATGTACCATGGTTTGACCACATCCTTGTTAATGGGGAGCTATTTTGCTATTGTAATAATACTTTGACAAACCCCGTTGAACACATGTTTTTGGGCACTTATATATTTTTATGGATAGAATATCAGAAGTGGATATATTGAGTCAGAGGGTGTGCATATTTACAATTTTGGAGAGCTACTGACAAATTGCCCTCTAAAATTAATCAACTTATACTTCAACAGTGTATGCAAGTGACCTTTTCCCTGTACCTTCTCCAACACAAAATGTTATCAGTTTTTCACATTTTTGCCTGATGGGGAAAAACAGTATTTTGTTTTTCAGTTTAATTTCTTAATTGTTATTAGAGGCTCATATGTTTTCACCTGGTTGTTAGCTGTTTGTAATTCTTTCTTTTAATTACCTATTCACGTACTTTGCTTAGAGTCCTATAGTGGGTTGTCCTTTACTTAGTGTTTTGTAGGGGCACTTTGTATATCACAGATACTAACCCATTGTCTGTTATATATGTAGCAAACATTTTTTCTTAGGCTGACATTTTGTAGTACATAAATGTAATGATTTAATGAATTCAAATCCGTTACTATTTTTCTTCATGGCTTCTTGGTTTTGTGTCTTGTTTAGAAAGGCGTGGTCAAGCTAACATTTTTGAGCTTCAATTTCTCATCCCTAAAATGGGGGATAAATTATTATTATGATGATTATTAAGAAGATTACATGAAATGAGTATTAAAATGTCTAGCATATTGCCTGGCATACAGCGGGCACTTAGTAAATATTATTTATTCAGGCATTTGACAAGCATCTACTAAGTTCCCTCTATGTGCCAGTCATTGTGGCGGGTGCAAAGGGTGTGGAGATGAGAAGATGTCTTCCTTCAAGGAAGGGGAATGTTATTTTCTTACTGACTGATTACAATTTAATACCATTAAAAACATGGGGACTGACCAGTTAGCTCTGTTGGTTAGAGCACTGCCTTGTAAAACCAAGGTCACCTTCAAGGAAGGGGAATGTTATTTTCTTACTGACTGATTACAATTTAATACCATTAAAAACACGGGGACTGACCAGTTAGCTCTGTTGGTTAGAGCACTGCCTTGTAAAACCAAGGTCACGGGTTTGGATCCTCATACCAGCCAGCAGCTAAAAAAATAAAAAATAAAAATAAATAAAAAATATTCTTTCTGTTAATTTGAGGGGGATTACTTTTTCTCCCCCTCAAATCATAATAAAATAACTTGTGCTTTTTTCTTATTCAGTGGTTTGGTTTATTTTCAATAGGATTTTGTTTGTGTTTCACAAAAATGGTCATTTGAGCTGTAAGGCAAAAGTGCAGCCCCCGAGGCTGAATGGTGCAAAGACTGGAGTTTTTTCCACAAGGAGCCCTCATCGTCCCAATGCAATAGGACTGACCCTGGCCAAGCTGGACAAGGTAGAAGGTAACCCATTTCATTTGTTTTTACCTTTTTTTCCCCCATGGTGTGAACTCCTGACAACCACCAGACATCAAAGAAAACACAATGATTAGGAGAATGTTAGCATTAAAAACACTTTGAAATAGCTCTCACAGGATGTTCAGTGTTTGTTTATATCATTGCATATATCAAAAACTATTATTTTAAAAAACTTGAATAGATTTCATCATTATTAAATTAATAAACAAATTTTCTCTGATTTGGAATGCAATAAGTACAAAATGATTAGAAAATAATTGGACACTTTCAGATTTCACAGTAACTATTGTACATGCGTATATGGTAAGCACATGGGGCCGTGGTGCATCAATTCTCCCTTGCAGCCTTGAGGAAGTAGACGTGGATCATACCTGCAGTGCAGCTATCATCTGTGCTCTGTGGCAGGGGTCTGGGATGAATAGCACTACAGGATCAAACATCTGTCAGACAGTAGAAGTACCTGTGTAGAATACCAGATTAGTATTAACTGTGTATTTGTATATAACTTATTTTTATAACACATTTTTGGAAATCATACCATTCTTGGATCACTCTGACCCAATCAGTACATTTGTTAGAGAGACAGAAGATGAAATGGCAGGCAGACTAAGAGTCAGGAGACCATTCCAGGGTTCAGCTTGCTTGTTTGTAAAGTAGGCAAAAAAGAAGGACCTGCTCTTTCTGTGGACTCCACAGGATTTTTTTTTTTTTTTTTGAGACAAAAGCTCTAAGAGTACTTTGCATGCCATTGGGCAGTAAATAGATGAGAGCAGTTATTTTGCTTTTTCTCTCTCAGAACTTGAATTTCCTTGCTGGATTGTACTCAACCAGGGCTTGGGTAGGTTTCCCAGAAAAATTTAGTAGCCAGTCCACCTTGAATTTTATCAATTTGTGATGACTAACTAACTTGGAACATTTTATGATCATTCATGCAACCCACACATATTTTCTGCTACACAATATGTACTAGGTATTGTTCTAGGTGCTGGAGATATGGTAGTAAACAAATCAGATAAAAATCCCTGCTCTAAATGACCTAATGTTCCAGTTGGAGAGGTCAAGTCAGAAAGGATAAAAGGCAAATGCCTTAAAAAACATTGTAAACATTACTAAATAAGCTTTATGATAACTACTAGTGTTTGTGTGGTGCTGTATAGTTAGTAAAGAATGTTCATATACATTATCTCACAATGGCCGTGTGGGTTTGATAGGGTAGCAGTCTCCATTTTATGGATAAGGATATTGAGGCTCTTTAATGATAGATAATTTGCCTAATAACATCCAGCAGATGGTCGTCTGACTCTTAAATCCCGTAAACTTTTAAATATGCTACAGTGCCTTTCTTTCTCATGCACACATTGTTAGGCATAATCTATCATTTAGAAAGACTGGAATCATCTCTCAAAAGTTTCAGGTTCATTCACAGTAAGCATGTTTTAGAAATCAGGGTCCTGTGTTAGTCATGTTTTTCTTAAATAAATATAGCCACATGCAGTTTTCTGATTCTCATTTGGCCAGTTTCCCAAGGGTCAGGTTAGTAGATGCTATACCAGTAGCAGAAACTGGATGGCAGCTGTCCAAGTGGGACAACAGGAGGCCTGTCTTTAATATTTGGTAATGGTGACTTATGTGCTCCTTAATTGTTTGATCTTGATGGGTATATTAGATTTCTATTGCTTTGTAGCAAATTACCACAAACTTATCTGTTTAAACAACACACATGTATTATGTGTTTGAAACATTATGTTTCTGTGGGTCAGGAGGGCGTGCACAGCTTAGCTGGGTCCTCTACTTAGGGTTGCACTAGACTTCAGTTAAGTGGTCAGCTGGGATGAATTCTTATCTGGAGGCTTGAATATGGAAGAATCCTCTTCCCAGCTCACTCAGGTTGTTCACAAAATTCCTTTCCTTGTAGTTGTAGGACTGAGAGCCCTTGCTTCTCACTGGTGTTGGTTGGAGGCTGCCCTCAACTCCCACAGGCTGCCTTCAGTTCCTGGACGGCGCTTGGAGTTGCTTGCCATGAGGGCTTTCCCAGCATGCCTGCTTACTTTGTCAGGTCTGCAAGGAGAGTCTCTCGAGTGAGTCCACCAGCAAGCAGGAATCTCATATAACAACATAATCACTGGAAGGGAGATCACACCTCTTTTATCATTTTCTGTTAGTTATAAGCAAGTCACACTCGAGAGGAGGTTATTATACAAGGGTGTGATCATGGGGGCCACTTCAGAGTCTATTTGCCACAACAGAAATCCTCACTGGTCCCACACAGATATATGGAGGGCCAATATGTACCTGGATAGAGTTAGAAGCACCAGTGACACAAAGATGAGTCGACCCCACCCCATGCATAGGGGCTGCTCACTGTCTACAGATAGAGACGCCATGCAGGTCATTGCTATACCATGTGAAAGGGCTCTATGGAGGTGTGTACACAGGTTCCTCTGGAAACCCACAGGAAAGAAGGCTGATGTCTGGAAGAGCCAGAAAGGCTTTGTGGAAGAGGTGTCATGTGAGCACCTTGAAGAGTAAGCAGTGGTTTGAAGAGTGTAGAAGAGGATGGGTTTCCAGGTAGAAAAAAAGGTGTATGTCAGCACCAGGTGTAAAGAGCCTGGTAAGTGAGGGAACTGTGAGTAAGCTTGGTGAGGCATAAGCAGACGATGTCAGGGAGAGGATGTTTGGGTGGAATTGTATTCTCCAGTTGTTTGCACTATTCTTCATTGTGACTATTTGAGAGTGTTTCTTTCACATTACAGGTGGAGCTGTACACCTTTCTGGAATTGACATGATCCATGGCACACCTGTGTTGGACATAAAGCCCTACATAGCTGATTATGACTCACCACAAAATATGACAGAGCCTCCAGGGGACTTTAATTTACAGAATAACCAATATAAGCCAAAAACCGATTCTCAGTCTGATGGCAAGACTGAGAGCTGTGAGCAGCAACAGCTCTCAGGGTGTGACGAACCACAGCCCTACCATAGCACTAAGGAGAGACCTAAGTGTCCTGAAGACAGAACTTCAGAAGAAAACTACCAGAAACACAAGGACACAGCAAAAATCCATCAAACTTTGCCTAAGCGCGGGGATATAGCAGTGGATTTAGGTTTGGAATCCAGAAGTGACCCAAGTCTGAGTGTGGCAGAAGAGCACATTGGTCCATATGGCCTGGAGAAGAGCTTTTCTACGGAGCGTACAGAGAAGAAGCTGAGGAGAGAGGGAGGAGCCGCAGCTCCACAAGGAAGCAGTGCAGAGATGCAGCCCATGGCTCCTCACTGCCCTGCCAGAACGGCTGATGGAGCCCCCCACAGCACGGTCCCCGTCTGGCTGCGGGAGGCCCCTGCGGCCACGTTGGAAGTCCGCTTTACTCCTCACGCAGAAATGGACCTCACGCAGCTCGGTTCAGGAGGTGAACCAGGTACCTTCGGTGTCTTAGAGACATGAGCTTTTACTGTGAGCTTAGCCAAGTTTGGGTATTTCTGTGGTAGTTATATGGAGTATTTGTCAGTATGACTGGTTTTTAAGAAACAGGAGCATGAAAGTATATTTGGCCAGCACCATCATATGACGACTTTTGTTTCACAACTGTTTGGTCAGCACAGTTAGTTCCAGGCACTCGGTAAAGCGTTTGCAGAGAATGGCTGCTGCCTCATGAGGCGGCCTGTGATTTACAGTCCCTTGTCTACATGTTACAGTAGTTCTTGGGGTTTTCAAACAGCATTCAGAAGCTAAACTATGATTGTTTTATACATATGTACATTAAGTCTTCTCACCTGTTTTATTATCTGACTAGAGAAATGTTGCGTTTTTTGCTAACAATCAGGTAGCTGATAGCTCAACCTCTGGCACAGAGGGAAGAGTCTCTTAGCACAGAACATGCCCCCACAAAGTCCCAGCTCTAGAAACATGGAAGAGTCTCTTAGCACAGAACATGCCCCCACAAAGTCCCAACACTTTACTGCAGAAGAGAGGCCACAGGCTCTTACTTTTGGAGCCTGTTTACTTCCATACATGGTTCTTAACAAATGTCATCTGGTGTCCCCAGCCCAGCAGCTTCCCCCAGCAGCAATCTAGAGTGAAGGAAGGGCTGTTAAGAGCTGGGTACAGTGATATCAGTAAGAAATAACTAGTTGCCGAGGAGTTGTCAGATTTCAAAAATGTAGAAAGCTATTCTTTTTGTTATAACTCAGTAAACAGCCAGTGTAGCCATATAAAGAGGGAAATTCATTCATTCATTCTACAGTTGTTCACTGAGCTGCTTCTGGGTACTGGGAACTATTCTAGGCCCTTGGGATGCATCAGTGAATGAAACAGATCAAAAAAATCCCTGCCCTCATGGAGCTTTCTTTCTAATGGGGTAGAGAGAGACAAACCGAAAGCATATTAAGTAAGCATATTATTGTACAAAACATACAAAATCAACATGTGATATTAGAAGGTGGTAAGGGCTATGCAAAAATTTAAAAGAGGACAGAGTAGGTTCAGGGCATTGTAATTTTAAATAGGTGGCCAGAGTAGGCCTCACTGAGACTTGTATGAGCAAAGGCCAAAGAAGGGAGGGAGTGAGCCAACCTGTCCAGGGAAAGGACGTACCAGCCTGAGGGACAGCCCTTGCACAGCCCCAAGGTGGAGGGTGCAAAGCATGTTTGAGTTCACATTTGAAGTCACATGGCCAGAGTGGACTGAGAAAGGGCAGAGGGGAAGGAGCTGAAATCAGGAAAGCTACAGGGAAGGGAAGATGTCACGTAGGGTTTTATAGGCCATTGTAAAGACTTGAGTTTCTGTCTTGGGAGAACTGGAAGGCAGAGGAACTTGACCTCAGTATTCCCAGAGAGCAGGGGGCCATCTCTGGAGTCAGAGCATTGCCTAGAGTGGGCTGTAGGTGAATTCTGGGGTGTCACATCTCAGTGGCATGCAGAGGCAGGCCGGAATTCCTTATTCAGACAACGAAGTTTTTCATTGCATATCCAGAAAATAAAGGCTTAAGCAACCATAGACGTTAGATTTTCCTCTACTTTAAAAGGAGGGAGAGAATGAAGAGGATAGGAGGGTGTTTGGCATTTGACACTCCAACCTGAAGGAGTCCTCCTGATGGGAAGAAGAGGTCTAAAAGTTGGGGCCGGGGACAAATGCCACAGCCAAGTCTGGAGATTTCACCATTTCTTCCCGTTAGGGCCACAGCCAGCCCACACTGTTGCCTTCACAAATGAGGCCCTTCCTATGGGTGGAAGCAGCCTCCTGTCAGGGCTCAGGCACTGGTTCTAGCCCCGACATGCCGACCTTGGTGGGTGCCCCGTGGCTGTGAGTGGCAGTGCCACTCAAAGACTGGGCTGCTTCTTTCCTAAGGCTTTATTTTTAAACAAAGCTTTTGCTTTTAAAATTGATCTCATTATTTTTAAAGTTTTGTTTATAGAGATGATTTTATCACTGTATATAGTTGATGGGGGTAGGAAGGTCAGTTGTGAAGGATTTTGTGGTGGAACAAAGCAGTGCTGCCTACTTTATGTTTACGGATGGGGGTAGGAAGGTCAGTTGTGAAGGATTTTGTGGTGGAACAAAGCAGTGCTGCCTACTAGACACTTTATGTTTACACTTATTCCTTGTCTTGTGGTTATCACTAAATGCTATCTACTGTGGAAAGTTTTGTTTTTCAAACTGCAGTGCAGTGTGTCTGAGGTGATTCAGATATGCCTTATTGATAAAAAATGGTTAAAAAGAGAAATTATGCAATATAACTATAAAATGAGGATGATTAGGGCCAGCCCATGGCTCACTTGGGAGAGCGTGGTGCTGACAACACCAAGTTAAGGGTTAAGATCCCCTGACCAGTCATCTTTAAAAAAAATAAAATAAAAATCAAATAAATAAATAAATAAATAAATAAATAAATAAAATGGGTATGATTGATAGCAAACAGCAGAATTGAGAGCCAGTACAGAGATAAGAAATGACTTCAGGAAGTTCTGAGTCTAGAAGAGGTGAAAGGTGTTGAGAAGGGAAGGAAATGGTCCTGGAACAGAGGTCTGGGCAGAGTGCTGTGGGCACATGAGGGAGACTAGAATCCTGCCTTGAGTGGGGGAGGAAATGGCGTGTGAGCTGAATCCGGAAGGATGAGGAGGTAGGGAATCCAGGGAAAGGCACCACGCCAGATGAATGGCCAAGCAAAGCCGGAGCCAGAAATACTGTTACTTAGGAGTGTGATGAACTCCTCTTTTTCGAGTGGCCTTTAGAGTCATTTTGTGAGCCATGTAATACAGGAATCTCATCACCATATAACTGGTCCTTCGTTTTTGATAAAAAAAATTGTACTTCATGACTTTATTTACAAACTCACTTATATATAGTCCAGAGTGATTTTTAGCTGTTTATAAAAACTGAATCCACTCCAAGAAGGATAAAGATCCACTGTCAATCCAGATGATATTTTGAGCAAGGACAACATTTTTAAAGCACATACCTTCCTGGAAAGAACTGGCCTTCATTTGGTGTTGTAGTTATTAAAAACTAGTTCACAGTTACTTTTTTTTTTTCCTTTTTGTCTTTTTTTCGTGTCTGGCAACGAATTGCAGCCCTCAGTGTCTCGCCCGTACCGGACCGGGACTGGCAACGGGATCGCAACCCTCGTTGTTGCTCCCGCACCTCGCTCAGCCAGTGAGCGGGAACCGGTCTGCATGTGGGATCCGAACCCTCAGTGGGAGCGCCGCCGCACTCCCAAGCGGCGCACTGTAGCAGTGCGCCACCGGGCCAGCCCCCACAGTTACTTTTTAAATTTAAGTTTTATACATACTGTATCTTTGAAAATTAAAGTACATTAAGAATCATATAAACATAGGAAATTTTGCCACTTGACAGGGTAAGCATCACTTGGGTGGAAGAGAGTGGCGTTTTCCCTAGGGATGGCATTGAACTTTCTTAGTATATCTGTTCCCCTTTTGTCCTGGAACTCTCATGTCCTTGTTCCTTAGGGAATGTGGCATTACCTATAACTGTGGGTCTGGGACACTCAGCTTTCTGATGGTGACCCTCCCTTGCCTATAGCTAGTGTTCTGGGTATGTGTGGGTAAAGTTCACTTTCTTGTGGCCTGAGAATGCTGAAACTGTCATGTGTTTCCTTGACCATGACTCCATTCTGAGAAGAATGTGACAAATTGAATTAAAATCTATATTGAGTGGGCCGGCCCGGTGGCGCACTGCGGTAGTGCGCCGCTTGGGAAGCGCGGCTGCGCTCCCGCCGAGGGTTCGGATCCCACATACAGACCGGTTCCCGCTCACTGGCTGAGCGAGGCGCAGGAGCAACACCGAGGGTTGCGATCCCGTTGCCGGTCCCGGTCCGGTACGGGGGCGACGCTGAGGGTTGCGATCCGTTGCTGGACACGGAAAAAGACAAAAAAAAAAAAAAAAATCTATATTGAGTATAGAAAAGTGACATTCTGGGCCGGCCCGGTGGCGCACTGGAGAGTGTGCCGCTTGGGAGCGCGGTGGCGCTCCCGTCGAGGGTTCGGATCCCATGTGGAGACCGGTTCCCGCTCACTGGCTGAGCGTGGTGCGGGCGCAACACCGAGGGTTGCGATCCTGTTGCCGGTCCCTGGTGTGGGCGCGACACCAAGGGTTGCGATCCCGTTACCGGTCAGTAAAAAAGACAAAAAGGAAAAAAAAAAAAAAGAAAAGTGACATTCTGGTTGACAGAAAATGAAAGCTTACCTTTCTTAGTTAGGATACTAAGGGAAAGTACCACCATGACTTTCCCATTCAGTAAAATAAAAGTTTTGGAGTACACAAGTTAAATCTAATGACAATAAACGCCACTTGAAGGTAATATCCTCTGTAATGACTGGATAGATTTCCAAACCCTGTTCATTTCAAGTGATGCTTAAGAAACCAACCAAATTCCATAGAAGTCCACTGTAAGGAAATTTGACCTGCGTGATTTGGAGCATTAAGCTGTGTTCTTCTTGTTGCAGGTGTTGGTCAGGCACCATTTAAATATTTCCAGTCAGCAGAGGAAGCAAAGCGAGCCATTGAGGCTGTGCTGTCAGCTGATCCTCGGTCTGTGTATCGCCGGAAGCTCTGCCAGGACCGCCTTTTCTACTTCACTGTAGACGTAGCACATGTCACTTGCTGGTTTGGTGATGGCTTTGCAGAGGTTCTAAGGATCAAGCCAGCTTCTGAGCCTGTTCGGATGACTAACCCTGTGGAGTCCCTGGTGTCTCTGGGCTCCTAAGGAACAGCCTCAGGGGCCAGCCTGAGGCTCACTCAGGAGAGTGTGGTGCTGATAACACCAAGGCCACGGGTTCAGATCCCTATATTGGGATGGCCGGTTTACTCACTTGGGAGAGTGTGGTGCTAACAACACCAAGTCAAGGGTTAAGATCCCCTTACTGGTCATCTTTAAAAAATATAAAAAATAAAAATAAGGAAGAGCCTCCATCACATCTGAAGACAGCCTCAATGACCTTTGGGTGTGGCTTTTGGATTTTCTGTACAAGCTAATGATGTGCCTTCTTTGTAGAAAGAAGCAAAGCATTGTGATCTCACTGTTTGATTGATTTGGGCTGTTCATAATATTTATTTGAAAAACATGTATTTTAATAAACTTAACAGAGAGAGATAAAATATAGAAAAATTGCCATATGCTTTTTGACCTGTTAATATTGAAGGATCCAGAGGAGAATGATGCTGTCTCAGTGATTTCTGAAAGAAGTGACTGTTCTTGGTGCTTGATAAAATTAGGCAGAGATCATCTTTGCACACACTCTCAAGTTGAGGGGGTCTGTTCAACAAGTTACATTGGTTTTCCTGTCTGGAAAAGCCTGACCTCTTTATTTTATTGTACATCAAACTGAGTTAAAATATCTTACAAAACTAACAGATCAAAACCAAATGATTATAGGGCTGGCCAGTTAGCTCAGTTGGTTAGATTGCAGTGTTGGTAACACCAAGGTTAAGGGTTCAGATCCCCATACTGGCCAGCCGCCAAAAAAATAAATAAAATAACCAAAAAAACAAATGGTTATAGATATCTTTAGAGATTAAATCCCTCTGTTTCAAAGAATCTGTGACACACACACCGCACATATACATATGTGTGCATGTATATATAAAATCCTTTTTCTAAAATAGACACTCTCTGGGCCAGCCCGTGGCTCACTCGGGAGAGTGTGGTGATGATAACACCAAGGCCGCATATACATATGTGTGCATGTATATATAAAATCCTTTTTCTAAAATAGACACTCTCTGGGCCGGCCCGTGGCTCACTCGGGAGAGTGTGGTGATGATAACACCAAGGCCGCGGGTTCGGATCCTATATAGGGATGGCTGGTTAGCTCAATGGGTGAGCGTGGTGCTGACAACACCAAGTCAAGGGTTAAGATCCCCTTACCGGTCATCTTTAAAAAATAAATAAATAAAATAAAATAGACACTCTCTGAGATTTCTTTGGATGTCTTTGTACCAGAAGAGAAAATCCCCCCAAAAGTTCAAGAAACTACCTTCATTTTTACTCATTGTGTGACTATTTATTGAGAACTTACTATGGGTTAGGTTATGGTGAAAAAATGAGATGAACAAGTTGCAGTTCTTGTTACAAGTCATGGTTAATGGAGGAAGTAAGACATAAGCAAATTATTGTATTACAGTTTGATGAATACAGTATTGTCTATTCCTGGTTCCTGTATAGTACCACATAGGAAGCATTTGTAAGAACGTATTGCCTATATGTGATTTTAACTTTGATCCCAGATAACTGAAGATTTATGATCAGAGGAACCAAATTAGACACCTGTCAACATGACAGCTTTCCTAATCACAAGTGTAAATCTCGCTAGCTGATTGATCCTGGTTTTGAAATGAGCCCTACTGCCTGTGGATACTTGTGTGGAGTTATTTGTGGCTGGTGACACTGCACTCCTTAGCCAAACTGGTTTGTAGTAGTTATCTTTGATGTTAGTTACAAATTCTCAGAGAAGTATCCTTAATTTGATTTTTTAAAGCTTTTTATTTTATAATAATTATACATTCACAGGAAATTGTAAAAATAGTACAGAAGTCCTGTGTACCCTTCACCCAACTTCTTCCAGTAGTAACATAACTATAGTACAGTTAACCCTTGCATAACATGGGTTTGAACTGTGCAGGTCCACTTATACATAGATTATTTTCAAAGAATACAGTTGGCCCTCTGTATTCTTGTGTTATGCATATGTGGGTTCAGCCAACTGCACATGGAAAATACAGTATTTGCAGTATGTGTAACCCGCGGATACGGAGGGCTGACTTCTCGTATTTGTGGGTTTTACAAGGCCAACTGTGGGTTTTGAAAACTGGCAAATTTTGGTATCTGCAGGGCATCCTGGAATCAATCTGCAGATACCAAGGAACGACTGTGTAATATTAAAACTAGGAAATTGACATTGGTACAATTACCTTTCAGTTTGATTTTGATGTCTTTTCTCCTAAAAAGTTATTTTGAAGTTGAATCAGGGCTTGAAGCACAAATATTGATGTTTAATATGTAACAATAACTCTGGGGGACAATACCAACCAGACTTCTAACAAGAGGACTGTTCAGTGGTTTGGGGTTTGATTATACATTCTCAGGACTTTAGAGCTTAGAAGGATCATAAATATAATGCAGTTCAGTTTTCTGCCAGTTCATAAGTCTCTTCAATATTCCCGGTGTTTGGCCTCCCAGCATGTGCTTAAATACTCTCAAGAGATAAGGTCTTCACCCCTGACCTGTGCAGCTCATTCCATATGGAAAGTGATCATTACTAAAATGTTCTTTCTTTATGTGGGATCAAATCTGTTCTCTGAGAACTCTGCCCAGCACTGGGGCCACACAGAATGAGGCTGGTTGCCCTCCCAGGTTAGCCTGCCAGACCACCCCGTGGTCTCCTCTCGGCTAGCAGTCCTTTTCCTCAGCCCTTTCTTATAACATGATCTTAAGCCTCTCCCGACCCCCAGTCCTTCCCATGTGAGCTTTTGTTTCTGGGGGTGTTGTACTTCAAGTGTCCTTTGTTGAGGACGTTTGGATCTTTAGTTTGTGAAGTTCCATCTCTCAGAAGTAGTTTGAAGTACAAGTTTAAAATAAGCCATTTGTTCCTTTTTGTCTTGAAAACTTTTTTCCTTCTTTCTTTTTTTTTAAAGAGAATTTACTCTCATCCTCTACTGTTTGCCTTCTTCCATCCAAGCTTATTCCATGAACACAGAATTAAATATACCTGATTTGTAGATAAAAAAAATCAAACACAAAAGTTCTTTCAAACCCTCTGTCGAGTGGTTTAAAGATGGTCATTGATTTTGTCTTGAATTGAGGTTATTTTGGTATACATATGTGGTTATATGTATACATACACACAGTACTAAAGATGAGATGGAAATGAGCTACAAAAAACTCAAAAGTGCTAGAATTGCAACTATCAAAATTGTTGCAGCTGTGAGGGCCGAGCCCATGGCGCACTCGGGAGAGTGCGGCGCTGGGAGCGCAGCAGCGCTCCTGCCGCGGGTTCGGATCCTATATAGGGATGACCAGTGCGCTCACAGCGTTCACTGGCTGAGCGCGGTGCGGCTGGTCTCAAAAAGGACAAAAAAAAAAAAATTGTTGCAGCTGTGGAGTAATTTCATGTCCTGTTTGTCTCAGCAATCACGTTTGAGAGGTCCTTTTGACGTGGGGGGGCACATCAAGAGAAAGAGCTTGATTCTTGGTTCCTTAGATAGTTAGGCTCTTTGGCCACAGTTATGGAAAAAGGATCATGCCACAAGTGAAGTTACGATTTTAGGGCTGCTTTCTAAACTTTTTCAAAAGAAAAAGGAAAACAACTGTACTAGGCATTAGGTGACACCCACTTTAATTTTTAGCCTCTGCTTTTTGGTGCCTGTAGGGGGAGCCCTTGATATGTCCTTTTTGTAGTGCTATTGTTGGGTTTTGATGACAAGGTTATGCTGGTCTCATAAAATAAGGAGAAGCCAGAGAAAAGAATATCTTCTTTTTCTGTTCTCTGGAAGACTTTGTGTAAGATTGGATTTTTTAAAATATCTTTAATAGAACTTGCTGGGGAAGCCTTCTGAACCAGTGGTTTTCTTTGTGGGAAGGCTTTCTTGCATTCAGTAAATGAATTCAACTCAATTTCTAATTACGTTTTCTTGAAGAAATACTTACACTTGCTTCTAACTTCCATCCACTATTGTTGTTGAGAAGTCAGTTATAGTGGGTGCTGCTCCTGTGAATGACAGCCTTTCTCTACCCCGCCACTCTGGCCTATCTGGCTGCATGAGCCAACTTCAGGGGGATCCAGGGGTCCCTAAAATCCAGTGTGTGGATGGCCTCTGTTTTCTTTTTTCATTACAGAACTATTTAAAAAGGACTCTTTTTAACAAGCTGTATGATGTTTTGTTGAGGAAGATATCACAAGGTGCTCCTTCCTTAAGGATTCAATTGACATTATGCCACATGCCCAAGACAACTTCTTCCTGTCACCTGGGTTTCCTTTCTGTGGTTACACATGTACCACTAACCACCTTCACCAACCATGCACACAGTCACCAGCTCAATCCCTTTCTCACATGTGGTGCTTTATCTTCCACCTTCTTTCCTGATTCTAGCCCAGAGAAAGTACCACATGTGAGAAAATTTTCACGAGTGAAAATTTTTATAAGAAAATAAAATTGTAAGCACGATGTGAGGTTATTACAGCAAGCTCTACCTCTGCCATGGAGAAGAGGGAAGTCATACATTTTAAAGCTCAATTAAATATAACAGTGACCGTTTTGTTAAAAATAAGTTTTCTGATCTGGGTCTATCCTATTCTTACACTCTCTGCCCCTCCTCTGCCTTTTAGGTTTCTAGCAGGTGTGATTCATAAAGGATTCAAGGTTCAGGCACAGTGCATGTGGCTGTGAACAGCTAGCCGAAGAAAAGCCTTGTCAATGTCCCTGGTGTAAAAACTCAAAGAGAATGCTCTTTATTTTTTGGTGGAGGGGGTCATTTGGCATATGAACTCACACCATGTGAACCAATCACATCTGAGTCAACGTGTGTTTACACTGTGCTGACAAAAGTAGGATTGTATGTAACACAGCATTACCAACCTCTTCTGCCTTATAGATAACTTGAATTCTACTCAGATTCTTCATTAATACACCTAATTCTTCATCCAATTTAAGATAAACAAAATACTTTTTTTCCATGATAACATATTTTTAAAAAATTACCCACATGCTGCACATTGAAAAACTGTAATTCTTCACATGAGTATAGACTTTACGGTTTCTTTTTTATTTATTTTTTTGGCAGCTAGCCTGTAACACCAAGGTCA